ACAAAGAACATCCTTAATTCAGACCTAATATATCAAAAAGACATAATAGTTATAATTACATAAGCACTAAAAATTGGGGCACCTAAATACATGAAGCAAATATAAATTGTTAAAAAGAAAATAATAATAATAATAATAATAATAATAATAATAATAATAATAGAGATCTCTAATCTGCCACTTTCAAAAAGTGATCAATCAATTAGGCACAACGTTAACAAGAAAATTCTGAACTTGAATTGTATCTTTGATCAGAAGGACTTAACAGGTATATACAGGACTTTCCATACTATAGAAATATAATAAGCTTTTCTTCATTGCTCATGGAAATTTTCCAAGCTAAGTCATGTTAGGCAACAAAACAAGCTGTAACAAATTAAAGAAGATTGAAATCGTGTTTGATATCATTTCAGACCACAATGGTATATAATTAGCAATGTAGCAGGAGAAATCTTGGAAAATTCACTAATATTCAGAAATTAAACAACATTTGCTTGAACAGCTAAGGAATCAAAGAAGAAAAATTGAAAACTATCTTGACATAAACTATAATGGCAACACAACATACCAAAATCAACAATGGTTATAAGGAAAAAAGGCTATGGGCATAAATGCCTCCATAAAAAAGAAGAAAGATCCCAAAGAAACAATCTATCAGTTGTCTCAAGGAAATAGAAAAAGAAAAATAAATCCAACATGAGTAGAAAGAAAGATATAATAAAAATTTGAACAGAAATTAATTAAACACAGAAAACAAAATCAATAAAATTGAGCTTTTAAAAAATTAATAAAACCAAGAAAATCATGGCTAGTTTAACTAGGAAAAGAAAGTATTCAAATCAAAGAAATAAAGGGTGAATAAGTCACAACAGAATCTTTGGAAATAAAAAGGACTGTAATGGACTATTCTCAACAATTATATGCCAATAACCTGAATAACCTAAATGAAATGAATACATTTCTTAAGAAAAATACAAGCTGACAAGATTGAAAAAGTTTAACAAGAGGAATAGCAAAGCTTTTGAAGAAATACTAATAAAGACTTTGGGAAAAGTAACAGCTCAAGGCTAGGTTGTTTTGTGGATGAATTATACCAAATGTTCAAAAAGCAAACAAATAGGATTAATAGCAATGCTCCTTCAAAAAATAGCGATAAAGTGAATACTTCCAAACATATTTTATGAGATAGCAGCATGTTGATACTCAAGCCAAACAACATATCAGAACCAAAGAAAACTGCAAAACTGCAGGCTAAATTATCTGAAGAGCATTGATGCAAAAGGCCTTAATAAATATTGCCAAATCAAGCAAAATAATGCATCAAGTAATATATCATAATAATACATCAAAAAGGATTACAACTCATGACCAAGTATAATTTGTCCCAGGCATCCAAGGCTGATTTAACATACAGTAAACAATGGGGTACTACACAATAACAGAAGATTAAAAGACACATGACAAATTCAACTGATGCAAAATATACATTTGACAATGTTTTACATCCTTTTTTGATAAAAATTCTTAATTTCTGTTATATAATCAAAGTTCTTCAACATATTAAAAAATTGTAAAAAAAACTCAAAGATGTTATAATGCATAGAGGAAAACTGACTGCTTTTCAACTAAAATCTGATATAAGGCAAGGATGCCCATTTTGCCACTTATACTCAATGGAGTCCTGAAAGCACTATCAAGGAAGTCAGATAAGAAAATGAAACAAAAGGCATTAAAATCAGAAAAGAAGTAAAATTATCCGTATTGGCAGATGATATGATCCTACTAGGAAAAAACAGCAAAAATTCCCCAGAAAACTGTACTAGAATTAATAAATGAATTTAGTAAACTTGCAGGATATGAAGTAAACATATACAAATTAGTAATATTTTTATACCTAAATATTGATCTAACTGAAAATGAAATCAAGAAAACCAACCCATTTATGATACATCAAAAATTAATTGAAACACTTGGGAATCAAGGAGGCAAAAAAATCTTTACACTGAAAACTGTAAAATGATGAAAGAAATTAAAGAAGACACATATAAGTGGGAAGATATCCTATACTTATGTATCAGAAATTTTAATATTGTAAAAAAGTCCATACTACAGAGGCAATATACAGACACAATTCAACTTTTGTCAAATTCCAATGGCATTCTTCATGATACAGAAAATATAATCTTAAAATTGAAAATAAAGCATAAAACATACCAAATAGATAATTCTGAGGAATTAAAACAAGTTAGAAGCATTATATCCCCTAATTTAAGACTATATTACAAAGTTATCATCATTGAAACAGTATGTGCTGAAGTGAAAACAGAAGCATAGACCAGTGGAACAGAATAGCCAGGAAATAAATCCAAACATGAGTAGTCAATGAGCTTTTGTCAAAGACAGCAAAAGGGCACAATGAGGAAGGGATGATCTCTTCAATAATTGGCACAAGAAAACCTGTATTTCCACATACAAAAGCAGAAAATTGGGTGTTTACTGATACCACACAAAAAGATTAAAAAAAAAATTAAAGAACTAAATATAAGGAAAGAAACTTTAAAACTTCTAACAGAGACCATGGGGGAAAACCTTGGAACATTATCCTAGATGATTTTTTTTAGCAACTACTTCAAAAGCTCAGGACACACAGGCAAAATAAATACATGGGACTACATAAAACTGAAATATTTCTCCATAGTAAATGAAACAATGTAGAAAATACAAAGGCAGGTTATGGGTTGGGAACAAACATTTGTATACCACATATTTGATAAGTGGATAATATGAAAAAATTAGAATTCATATAACTCAGTAGAAAATGTTCAATAAAAATGAGCAAAAAGTGAATGAAACTGGAGGTTACTATGCTAAGTGAAATAAACCAGACATAGAAAGATTAAAATACCACATTTCCTTTCATTCATAGAAACTACAAAACTAACCTTTCAGAAAAATGGAATAGAATCGTGATGTTTGGAAGCTGAGAAGAGCACAAAAATGGAAGGACAAAGAGAAGTCAAAAAAGGCATCACCAAAGCACAGCAAGAGAGGAGGGGTTACTTCTGCTATTTCCATAGAAAGTAAGGTAACTATTGGTTGATCTAACCTATCATGTATTTCAAACTGATGAGAAAATTCTCAACACAAAATAACTAATGTTTGAAGAGATGGAAAAGCTGGTTACCTTGATTTGATCATTACACATTGTATACATCTACTGAATTACTGCAATATACTTCATTAAGATGTATAAATATGTCCTCATTAAAAATACAAATAGAAAAAATGAGAAAAACATGTGAATAGACATTTTCCAAGAAAGACATGAATGTGATCAACAGGTGTATGAAATAATGATCAACATCACTAATTATCAAAGAAATGCAAACCAAAATTATTCTAAGCCTATCTCACATATGTTAGAATGGCTATTATGAAAAAAATCAAAAGAAAAAAATTGTTAATGAGGCATGTACCAGCAAGGAACTCCTGTACAGAGTTAGTAGGATCTTAGATGGATACAGGTGCTATGTAAAATAATATGAATATTTCTAAAGAAACTAAAAATAGATATCATATAACCCAGCTACACCTATTCTGGATATATACATAAAGGAAACACAAATACTACCTAGTAAAGACATCTGCACATTCATGCTCACTATGGCATCATGCACAATAGCCAACATATGGAAACATCCTAAATATCTGTTGACAGAAAACAGAGAAACTATATCACATATATACAATAAAATGGGATTCAGTCCTAAAAAATTTATAAGGTCCTTTCATTAAGCACAGCATGAATGTCTAGAGAACATTATGTTAATAATGTCTTATTATGTTAATAAGTGAAATAAACCAGACACTAACACAAGAATGTTACATGATCTCACTTATATAGAGAATTTGAAAAAAAATCTAAAGACTCCAAATATACAATAGTGGGAAAAAAGAAAGTGGTTTATAGGAGTTGGTGGTAGGCAGGAATGGGAAGACGTAGGTCATAGGATACAAGTAGCATATATGTAGCAGGAACAATAAATAGACCTAATATATAACATAAAGATGCTAGGTAGTAAAATTGTACTGTATGTGGAATTCTTGTTAGATGAATAGATCTTATCTGTTCTTAATACAAAACCAAAAATAAATTGGAAACTATGCTAAGTGATGAACATGTTAGTCTATTATACCACAGTAAACTTTTGACTATATGTATTTAAGTATATAAGATTATGTTATATACCTAAATATACACAATAAAATTTATTTTAAAAATGAAATGCATAGGACTGAGGATTTAGTTCAGTGGTGCTGCTGCCTGCCTCACAAGTGCAAGGTCCTGAGTTCAATCCCTAGTACCAAAAAATATATATAAATAAAGACATAAACTCTATAGTCTTTATTTTCATTTTAACTCTTTAAAAAGGGTACAGGCATTATTTAGAATTGTATATATCTCTTGGTGACTTGTTATGTATCAATCCCATATTGCACAGAGCAATTAAATTGATCTATGAAAATTGCATACACTTTTACATATTCAGAGATATGGTCAAGTCCCAAAATGAAGCCAAATGAATATACCTTTCTGTACTTTTTTTTTAATCTATCTATCCATCCTTTACCTCTTCTAATTTCAGGCATTATCCACATTTTTCCTCCATATTTCATTCAGGAAAACTAAGTTGGTACAAATGGAGGCTTAAATTCAGACCACTGTTAATTGAATTTTTACTTCCTCCCTGATGGACTCCTGGCTAGATCCTCTCTGTTTGCTTCCTGACTAAGGAATTTCACATGTTTGTTGCTTACTGGAACCTCTAGCAAAATGTCTACACAATTTTTCTATGTTCTTTATTTTCTTTTACTTTATTTTTATATTGATGCTGTCTTTGCTTTTATATCTATAATTTTATTTTTCATGAGGGAATTATGACCCCATAAATACTGTTTGCTGAGAAAGTGTCATTTTAAAAATCCCTTAATGATCATACCTTGAGAATCTTGCACATAATCTCATAAACTGAGAATGTTTTCTCTGCTCGGGTCCAGTCCCAAGTGGTCACCTTTAAAAGATGAAAAAATATTTTATTTGTTAGAAAGATATTTCCTACTTTCCTCTTATTTTGTTTGTATAATATTCTACATAAGTGAAACTTACACCATGTATCTGTTTTATCTCCCATTTAATGAACTTACTCTGATAAATTTCTGTGTATATTGTTTGATTTCCTCTCTTCCAACTTTATCATTATTATTATTTTATCAGAAAGTATTTTATGTTATATGTAAAAACTTCCATTTGCCTCAAGTTTCTGTATGACTTAAATAATGTGTTTCTTCTACATATAAATACTAGGTATTTATATTCCACATAAATAATTTTTCTTGATTTGCCATCAAACAGGAGAAACATGAGATGTCAACACTGGCTTCAATTTTTTAAAAATAGGATTTCTATTGGGAAATGATTCTAAGATGCCTTATAACATTGTGAAGAATTCAACACTATGATAAGTTTGTCTAGTATTTACATTTGATATAAACAAAAAGGTATTCAAAGTAGGAACAAAATAAAAGATATAGCCTTACAGTTGTTTTTTCTTTCCTTTCTGGTGGTTTGCAATTTGTGTAAACACAGACACTCAAAATAACTTTCAAACTTCCAATTCTCAGATTCTCTGTATTATTAGTCCTGTAGGTGAATGGTTTGGCACTTAGTATTTATATTTAACTATTATTTATTGAGAGTCTACTGTTCAGTAAGGTAGATGTTTCCAAAAGCAAGACTTTAGATGTAATAAGTATCCGCATATACTTAGTACAAATACCAATGACCACTATAAAGAATATAGCAGATTGTGAACAATTTCACTGATGTGATTTAGAAAGATGGCCCAGCACAGACCAACATACTTTGACAATCATAAATAATAGCTCACAGACAATATTTTGGATTTTTTGCCAAGGATAAGGCTTTGTAATTTAAACCTTTAACACAACAGAAGTTTGATTAAATTGAGATAGACTTGATACTAACTGGGTAAATGTGATTATTGTGAGATATGTTTATTACATGTCAATAATAAATTAAATGTAAGTTGAAAACTTATTGGTAGTACTTCAAAGTGACAAATTAAAAGGGGCTCTGAAAAGGCTTGTTGACTATAAGATTAATAACCTTATTTGAGAATGTCTAAAGAATCTTTAAAATCATTTACCCCACTCATATTCATTTCTTGATATAACTATTTTTTTAACTTTTATTGAATGAACAAAGTATGGTGACATAGCCTGGGAATATTTCTTGAAATCCTGGAAATGTCTTTGTGGGGTTTTTAACAGAATTATTATCCGATCCATTATTTTTCATTTTCATGGTCTAAACAGAAACACTTCCCAAAATTTTCATTTGTTAAACATAAAGTAAATTATTAATACAATAACATACATGCTTGATAAGATATTTCAGAAAGACCTAGGCTGTTTTCTTTTTTTCCTATGTAATTTCCAAAATAGGTTGACAATGTGCTATTTGGTATTATTCAGTGATGTTCATCTGTTGTGAAAAAATTGGAAAAACCGGTAGGTTTGGACAAAAATACTCACTGGAGGTGCCAGAAACTTGTAAAGACATGAGCCCCTCAGGGCTAGAAATGTTGGAGAATAGATGCGGTCTTGAAGGGGGTCTTGCTCTCTCATTTCGCACCAGCCCATATACACTATCTGGAAGGAAATTGCACATAATTAACTGTCAAAAAAACTTATTTTAGGCATCTTGTATTTATTTTTCATATCTTGGTGGATTATAATCCCATAAAAATATCAAATAAAAGTATGCAAAAACTAAACTGAAACATACTCACTTTCAATAAGTGTACAGTTTTCACACAGTTCAAAATATGTTTCTTTTAGCATTTATCAAGTGTTTGTTTATGCAACTCAACCTGACATGAATTCTATTCCCCACTTTTCCCCAGTTTTTATTATAAAAATATATATTTCCAATAGAATCAAAATACTCATTAACTTGCCAATGATTCTCATTTTACTATACAGAAATGCACTCTCAGTACAAAATATTTAGGTGCACAAGAATTGTTTATAGAAATAAAAAGAAAATTCTAATATTGAAGTATCAAGCCTACAAAAAAGAACCAATAGTAAAGTTTAGATTTCATGTATATGATAACATCCTTTTAAAAGATAGAGTTCAAAGCCCAACAAAACAATAACAAAAGAAATGGACAAATGAATAACCCAAGTAGGAGAGTTTAGAAAAATTTGAACAAAATTCAGCTAAAATCCATTGGGGCATAGAAATTTTTTAACCATGTAATTAATAAAATCTCCCTAATATTTAAGCCTAAGACATTTAAACAAAAATGGACTACAAATTATTTTCAAGTACACTGAATTAAAAAATGAATACACTTACTAACTTATATTATTAT